TGTGTACATAATTTCGCTCCACCACATGTACCACATGAGGTGCGAATGACAATAAAGAAACTCTGACTCTGACTCTGACTGACTCTGACATACATACATACATACATACATACATACATACATACATACATACATACATACGTACGTACGTACATATATCCACCGATCCATACATACATACATACATACATACATGCATTATTATCCACCTGAAAAGGCTCTTGCTCTTCTATCAACTTTAATGTTGACCCAACCACAACGTGTCCCCCCACAGGTTTTATATCAAAACTATCGGCTCGCACCATGTGTGCTATTAATGTTACTGGTGTTTCCAGTTACCATGGCGACGTAATTTGCAGACAGATGCCATTTTTCTCATTGCAAAACACTGACAGAACTCTTCACAACCTCTGACACAGCGAGGTCACATTACCTAGAGTTAAGAGGTCTCTGAACACAACACTGATTAACTTTTGGAGCCATTTTGATTCCATATGGCTGCCACAGCTACCTCAAAAAAACTCAAAATTGACTATAACTCAGTCATTCTTTGAGATCTTGATCTGAAGTTTGGTATGGTTGTACATGAGAATGAGTTGTTATACATTCCTGATGCAAATCAAATATCCAAGATGGCCACCTTAGCTAAAAGGGAAAAAATAGTGATAACTTAGCTATTTTAAAAGATATTGAGCTGAAATTTGGTGTGGTGGTAGCTGACAGTGATGCACAACACACTTTGAATTCAAATCTAAAAATGCAAGATGGCTGCCAAAGCTAATTTCAAATAGATACAACTCTGAATTTTTTAGAGCTATTAAGCTGAAATTTGGTGTGATTGTAGCTGAGAACAATCCCTAATAGGCTGATTGTAAATCAAAAATCCAAGATGGCTGCCTGAACTAAAAGGGAAAACAATTATAAATCAGCCATTCTTAGAGATTTTACGCCAAAATTTGTTGTGGTGGTTGCTGAGAGCAATGTCTAATATATACCAAATTCAAAGCAAAAATCCAAGATGGCTACCATAGCTTAAAAGAAAAAATGACCATAACTCATTGATTTTTTTTTTTTTTTGCCATATTCAGCTGAAATTTGGTAAATGGACTGCATATAGTGCCTTGGTGTATTCGTAGCTGAGAGCAAACCCCAACACATAATACTGTCAAATTAAGAAATTTAAAATGGGGGAGTGGTGGCGCAGAGGTTAGAAGATGGGCCTGTGATCAGAAAGTCGCAGGTTCACCTTCCGTCAACATCAAAATGTGGGTAGAAAAGGTGAAACACCCACACCTCCCTCCACCCTCATTGGCCCCACTCTGGGCCCTTGAACAAGGCCCTTAACCCCCACCATCTGCTCCTAAACAGGTCTCTCTTGAAAATGAGTTCTCGTGGCTCAATGAGACTACCTGGATAAATAAAGGGTATATAAAATAAATAAATTAAAATGGCCGCCCGTCACGTGGCAGTCCCTGTCGAAGTTTCTCCAGGAACTTTCTAATTGTCCTCTGCATTGAACATTAAAGTGGATAAAACATCTTCACATTGTCTACATGGGGGTGTTTTGGATCAGACAGGCTGCAGATAGCATCAGAACTTGAGCCCATGTGTTTCTCTGCTTCCTTCCTGTGCAGGTCTGATGGGAGACTCGGACCACCCGTACAGCAAGTTTGAGAACGAGTAATGAAGCTGGAGGGTCCAGAACTGCTGCCATGTTTTAGCTGCCTTCTCCTCACTCGGACCATAAACAGTGATTCTGTGTGCAGTCATTCAGACCAGCCTGAAACCTTCACCTCCATCAGCTTGTCATTTACACACCTCACTTTCTTGAGCCCATCGTTGGTCTGTTAGAGCTCAGGGTTTTGTGATGGATGGGTTTTAAACTTTCTGCTCATTTCTTCTGATCTGAAATATCAAGTCTTTTCTTTTTAGATCTGCAACTTTCACATACGTTTTTGCACTTTGTAAATGAGAAATGTAAAATGTTGATTGGAAAGTAGTGTGCCTACATGTGAAATAAATTTGTTTTCACACATTAATAAATGGTTGTTTTCTGATGGTCATGTCCAAAGAGTTCAAGTCTTAGAAGTAGAAGAGTGGTTGGCTGAAAGAGAGGCCCAGAAGGCTCATCTAAGACAGGTTCACTCCATGGTGCGTCCAGAACCGCAAAGAAAAGTCTTTATAACCCGCTGCCAAAAGCGTAGTGGGTGGACCATGTTTTTGCCCACGCCTTTGTATTTTTTTTTTTTTTTTTATATTTATTTTATTCATTTTATAATAATAAAAAACCACAAAACAATTAACATACAGACAACAAAAGAAATAAAATTATAAAATGAAAGGTGGCAGATGAAGAAAAAAATCTTATCATATCTGCCCCTTATTTTATGATAAACAATTTAAACAAACAACTTCCTTTGAATACAAAAAAGAGATAAACAACACATTAACTTCCTTAATTGCAAAGAATTACTGTTTGAACTCATTTCAAATATATTGTTTCAACAATTTATCCTTGACCATTCTTTTGAATATAGGCATTGAT